CTCCTGCTGTGGCTGCAGGGAGAGGATTAGAGGGAATGGTCATAAGCTGAGACAGGGAAGAGTCAGATTAGATGTTAGGAAACATTTTTTCCCTGTTAGGGTGTTCAGGCACTGGAATGGATAGCACAGGGATGTGGTGGAATCACCATCCCTGGAAGTGTTTAAGAGGTGTCTAGATCTGATGCTGCAGGATCTGGTTTAGAGTTTAGGGGTTCCAGCAGTGACAGGTTAATGGCTGGACTCGATGATCTTAGAGGTCTCCTCCAACCTTGATGATTCCATGTGTAGTAGGTGCTACCTCTCACCTGGTATGTGTGTTTCGATTTATTTTCAGACCTCAGTATGTAACACTGCAGAGTTTCCAGGCCTGATGGTTTTCCTGTTTAAATTACAGCTGCTCTTGTTTCCTTTGCAGTGATAGTCCGAGCTGCTGACTGCAAGAAGGTGTACCAGATAGAGCTTGCTCCCAAAGAGAAAATTATCATCCTCATCTGTGGTCGGAACCATCACGTTCACCTTTACCCCTGGGCCTCTCTGGATGGGTCAGAAGGGAACTTTGACATTAAACTTCCAGAAACTAAAGGCTGCCAATTGATTACAACTGGAACACTAAAGAAGAGTTCTTCAACTTGTTTGTTTGTGGCTGTCAAACGACAGGTTTTTTGCTATGAAATTCACAGAACTAAACCTTTCCACAAAAAATTCAGTGAAATTCAGGCTCCAGGAACTGTACAGTGGATGTCAGTGTTCAAGGACAAGCTCTGTGTTGGCTACCAGTCTGGGTTCTCTCTGTTGACCATCCAGGGAGATGGACAGTCTATAAACCTGGTAAATCCTAATGACCCCTCGCTTATCTTCCTCTCACAGCAGTCTTTTGATGCCCTTTGTGCTGTGGAGCTCAGTAATGAGGAATACCTGCTTTGCTTCAGCCATATGGGAGTATACGTCGATTCGCAAGGTCGAAGGTCACGCATGCAGGAACTAATGTGGCCTGCAACTCCTGTTGCCTGTAGTATGTATATGTTTTTCTGTTGCCATATCCCTGTTGCTGCTTTACTTGTCTAAAAATGATCAGCATTGTATTCAATTTCGCTTTGGTTTGTCTTTGAGTATCTACAGGTTAAGTTTCGGTCGGTTAACAACAGACACATAGTATTTCCTGGTATGGTAGTTTTGGATTTGGAGAGCCTGGGTGCTGCCAGGAAAGTTCTGTCTTGTTGCAGGACACAGAAGAACAAATAAGGGAATGCAAAATAACTTCTACAGAGAGTCCTGGATGCAGGACAGGGCAAGACTTTTGTTCCCTAGAGTGCAAATGTCTAGTTGTCTGTAGGATGTCTTCTGTGTCCTGTACTCAAAGTACAATAGAAAGGTGAAGAAGAAACCTAACTGCAACTCTAAAGGTTCATAAAGATAACGAGAGGTAAAAACACTAATACAGGCAGACAGAAGGCAATTTTTCAACCACTCTGCTTGTTTCAGGAGCATTGGTTATCAACTCAGTAGGATAGAAGCACATGCAGAGCATTGTTCAGTATTCAGTAGTCTAAGGCAGCTGAGGATAAAACCAGGATTTCTATTTGGAGCTCAAATAGCAATTAAAACACTTTGAATGATTGAAGGCAAGAAATAGCTTTTTGTTTAAATAGTACAGCAAGGAGTTAGCTGCACGTTGGTTTGATCGGGCCAGGCCTTAATAGCAGTTTGTTTAATTTTTACTTGTCTAGAACTGAAATTGTTTGCTGCTTTACTCTGACCTAGTTCTATACAGAACTCAGAAGCAAAGGCCCAAGGAAACAATGTAGTGGCAAATTTGCTTTAAAATATCATTAGCCAAAACTAATGTTTCCTTTCCCTTAATCAGCTTTACAGAGGTTTTTTTTTTCATTTCAGCAAACTAGATCTGCTACTTAATGGGTTTGTCAGTTATTATTAGAAGTGTTCTTACTGTAAACTGTTTCAGAGCATTTCTGTACATGCAATCCTGAGTGGCATTGGCCTGGGGCTGTTTCTGTAGAAAGAGCAACATTTTCTGCTGCCAAAGGAAACTGGATTACTTCCCTTTTCGTGAGACTTGTCCTCCCTCCTCAGCCCTGGTGTCTGTCACTAGTGGTGATGGCTTTTTTAACTATCCCACAGGAGGTTGTAAGATCACAGAATGGGTTGGGTTGGAAGAGATCTGAAAGATCATCTTGTTCCAAGCCCCTGCCATGGGCAGGGGCAACTACCACTAGATCATGTTGCTCAGAGCCCCATCCAACCTGGCCTGGAACACTTCCAGGGATGGAGCAGCCGCAACCTCTCTGGGCAACATGTTTTTGTGCCTCACCACCCTCACAGTAAAGAATTTATTCCTAATATCTAATCTAAACCTACTCTCAGTTTAAAGCCATTACTCCACATCTTCTCACTCCATGCCCTTGTAAAAAGTCCCTCTCTAGCTTTCTTGTAGCCCCTTTTGGTACTGGAAGGTGCTATAAGGTCTTTCTGGAACCTTCTCTTCTCCAGGCTGAACAACCCTAACTCTCTCAGCCTGTCTTTGTAGGAGAGATCATCAAAGAGGAAACGATTGACTGACCCCCTGGTGCAGTTTCTGCTCTGGTAAAGCACCAGGTTGTAGAGAGGTTTTAGGATACAATGGAGAGTTTGTCCCTGGGCGACTCAGTCCCCTCACCCTGGGGGAGCTCAGGGCCTGCACTGGCACAGCTCTGGGTTGCTGTTACACCAGCCCAAAATGCTGGTTCTGTGCTGAGTTGTTGTAGGTGTCCTGGGGCTGCTTGGGTTGAGGGTAGTGCAAAGCCTTGGGGCCAGCAGGTCTCAAGGCTGCAGCAAGGCAGGCCCAGTGCAGACACTGACGTGTCTCTCTGGACAACAGTTGAGATCTGATCAAGCTTTTCAGCTCTGAATGGCAAGTGCCAGCCTTGGCCACAAGCTGGGCAGGCAGAAGCAGTTCATATTTCTGCTGATGCTCAGTGGTCTGCCTTGATTGGAACATCCAAGCCAGCTGTGACCACACATAATAAATACTTGACCATAAATCACTTTTGTGATACAGGTTTATGACAGCTGTGCAAAGCTTTCTGTGAATGAGTTTTAAAAAGTGCACCACAACCATACATCAGCTCTTCTGTGAGGATTCTGTGATGTGTTTAGTGTCCTACTGGGTTATTTTCATTTTGGTTATTGAAGCATCACTTCTCTATTAAATCCCCTAAGTTTCTAGTAACAGCTCTTTACATCAGGGCACAGTCTTTACATGGGCAGGAGCATGTTGATATGAAGCTCTAGAGATCTCTACTTTTCATTTGACCTAAAATAAACTTGTCTGCTGGTGCTTTTTATGCTTTGGAACAAAAAACAGTTGAAAAGAGAAAATGAGTTATGGGCTTTAAGCACTGTGACTTTTTTTGTTAACCTGATGAAAGCAAGCCATACATGAATATCTAAAGCTAGATAATTGCTAGCAAAAGAGGAAGGAAATTGAGAGCAGATCTGCATCATGAGTTCATGACCCAGCTCACAGATGGTGGCCCTCTCATCTCCCCTGCACACAGCAGATGGACAGTTAGTTTGCTGCTTCCAAAATGAAGTAATCCATACAAAAGGTAGCTGCTTGGTTCCTACCACCTAGCAAATTTGTGTACATCTGGAAACCTCAGGTGCCATTTTGCCATGGCATGAAAATGTGAAGTGTTAAAAACACTGAAAGGGTCAAATTTAAATCCTTCCATGGTGCTGGTACTTGTCATGAGCAAATCTATGGTCACCAAAAAAACCTATTTGAAACTGGGGGTTTGAACAAGTGTTTAAAAATGTATCTTGATCAGGCACTGTGATATTGCCCAGGGAGGTGGTGGAGTCACCATCCCTGGAGGTGTTGAAAAGATATCTGGATCTGACACTGGAGGATCTGGTTTAGGGGTTCCAGCAGTGACAGGTTAATGGTTGGACTCAATGATCTTAGAGGTCTCCTCCAGCCTTGATGGTTCTATGATCTTGTACATAGTGGAAAATTTGTAGCTATTTGCCTAAATGTTTGTCAGTTCTGGACTACTGAGACAACATTAGTGTTTTCTGCTTGTTTTTAATCTCTGCAGGTTGCAATTCTTCCTATGTAACAGTGTACAGCGAGTATGGTGTGGATGTGTTTGATGTTAACACTATGGAATGGGTCCAGACTATTGGCCTGAGAAGGGTGAGTCATTTTCTTTGCATATTGAACTTAATTGGGTTAATTTTAAGTGCCATGTTCCCTCACAGTGTACGCTAGGCTTGAGTTAATCCTCTGTCTCCTTCCTCCAAACAGATCAGACCATTAAACATGGATGGCACACTGAACCTCCTTAACTGTGAGCCACCAAGACTAATATATTTCAAGAACAAGTTTGCAGGTGAGTACTGAGCAAGGGGAGAAACGTGAGCACTGAGCCAGGGGAGAAATGGGGAACTGATACAAAACTAACTGGGTGATTTTAACCATCTTTGTATGAGGTGAAACTTGTGTTGGGTGCATCTGGGTCAACATGTACCTATATGTGTGTGTAATTGTGTTGTTACAGCAGGAACTGGTCTCAGTGTGCCAGAAACATCTGACAACAGCAAGAAGCAAATGCTTCGAACTAGGAGCAAAAGAAGATTTGTGTTTAAGGTTCCCGAGGAAGAGCGATTACAACAGAGGAGGTGAGAGTTGCATTGTGGTATATAACTTCATAGTTGTGATGACATGCAGAGATTTGGAATGCAAATAGTAAAAATGACTCTGTTCTTTTAGGGAAATGCTTAGAGACCCTGAGTTAAGGTCAAAGATGATTTCTAACCCAACGAATTTCAACCACGTGGCTCATATGGGACCAGGAGATGGAATGCAGGTTCTCATGGACCTCCCACTGGTAAAATACATTTAAAAGGGAGGGAGGGAGATACATGTGCATTTGTTCTTGCTCACAAAAACTGTGAAGATGAACTGTACAGGCTTCAAGTGTTGTCTGTGTACCAAATTCTTCTTTTAATCATTTTGAGAAAGGTGAAGCTTCCTGCTGTGCAGTGCTTCTAAATCCTGTGCAAGGAAATACTGTTGGCTGGCTTATGAATGAGACACTGACAGAAACAGACATCACTGCCAGGAGCTTGTTAGTAGTTTTGTAAATAATCAGTCTCTCCTGCTTCCTTTTTTTTTTTTTTTTTGTTTGTCTCCTTAAAATAACAGAATGAATTTCCTTTCCCCTCATCCTCTCGACATTCTGCTCTTGGTATCACCTCCAACAAGCTTTGAGCACGTCTATCACATGAGCCTTATCTCTGCTGAAATCTCTCTCCAGAGTGACCATTCCTCACTGCAAGGCTTCCCTCTGCTTTCTTCCTCTTCCTGTCCCTCCTCTGCTTCCTTAGCAAGGGTAGGAGTAGCTACAACCTGTTAGGAACTGGAATGGTGTGCTTTGTGGCACTTTGCCAATTCTAGAGCAATAACAAGGGGGAAAAAACCTAATGCTGTGAAGGTAACTAAAATGCATGCGAGTTGCAGTGCTTTATGGCATTAATTTTGTGTTGTATTTAACTAATGCAGCATTTTGGGAACTATTTTAATGTTACATCCCCAAGGGGAAGGTGCTGATCTGTACCCTCTGAGAGCACTTAGGCTTTCTCTTGTCTCTCTCAGATAGCCCAG